TGGACAGACCTGTCCCTGCAGCCACTGGCCTGCACCAGTCAGGCTCCATCCTGTGGGTATGGTGAGAACCCAAGCTCCACAGTCCTCAGGATGTGCTCCTCACTTCACTGCCTCCCTCTCAGCTCTGGTTCTCAACATTTGCTGAACATGGGAACCACGTGGGAAGTTTCTAAGAAATATCGAAGCCCAGGTTCTCCCCCGGAACAATCAGAGCAGAATGTGTGGGGTGGGGGCCAGGCATGAGCACGTTCAGAACTGCCTACCTGACTCCAGTGTGTCAGGGAGGAGGATCCCTGTGCTGAAGGGACCTTCTTCAGCTCTAACGTGCACAGACTGTCTAAAGATCTTGTTTGAAATGCATATTCTGACTCGGAAGGTCTGAAAAGAGCCTGAGATGCTGCACATCCAGCGAGCTCCAATGGGATGCATGGTCACACTGAGCAGGAGGCCTGAGGGGTGGGGTGTGAAAGTGTGATTCACTGATTTTCTACCTCAAAGTGACTGTCCATGGTGAAGGTCCCTTTAAAGCTGGAAAGAGACTTCGGGAAGAGTTAGAATAAAGGTTCCCAGTGGTTCTCAACCTTTCTAATGCCACGACCGACCGTTTAATACAGTTCCTCCTGTTGTGGTGACCCCAAGCATAAAATTATTTTTGTTGCTACTTCATGACTGTAATTTTGCTACTTTTAGTGAATTGTAATGTAAATATCTGTTTTCCCATGGTCTTAGGCTCTACAGCAGCGGTTCTAAAGGGTCTAGAACCACTGCTATGGAAGGAAAGGGGAATTTTCTGCTAATGTGGAAATAAAAGCTCCTGTACCTACAAAATGTGACATGATCCACTCTCACAAGTGAAGTGCCCAGCACATAGTAGGCTCTCCACAAACGGTACCTGTGCTCCTTATTGTATCAGTGTTTTTTATCATCATCAAAGCAGGACCCTCACTCCACTTCCCAAACCGAGCAGGCATGGATTCCGATGTCCAAGACCCTGACGACGCTGGACAAAGCCCTACACTAAGCACCTTCCTCTGCAGAGGGGGCTGAGGCCAAGCACAGGAAGGCTTGGGTCTAGGGCATTTCATTACAGACACAGCCCCATGGACCCCGGCTAGTCACAGGGTGCCAATGCCTTTGTTTCCCTCATTGATGATTCATTGCCCTGGGTGGTGGCTACCCTTCCACAACCCAGTCATGGCGATCACTGAGTGGCTGCTGCATGTCAGGACCGGTCTTACGTGCTCTCAGTGTCACTAACTCTGTCCCCAAAAAAACTCTAGGCAGCAGGCAGGGTGCAAAAACAAACTGAGGAGAGCTCATGCCTTCTGGAGCTTCTCAAACTTTACTTGCTGAATTCATTCAAATGCAGAGTCCAGCTGTGGCCGAGTGGCTCAGCTGCCTGGAGTGTCATCCTGTACAACAAAAGGTTGCAGGTTTGATTCCAGGTCAGGGTACATACCTGGGTTGTGGATTCAAACCCTGGCTGGGGGGTGTAGGGAGGCAACCGATCAATGTGTCTCTCTCACATCAATGTTTCTCTCTCTCTCTCTCTCTCTCTCTCTCTCTCTCTCTCTCTCTCTCTCTCTCTCCCTCCCTCCCTCCCTCCCTCCCTCCCTCCCTCCCTTCCTTTCTTTCTAACAAAATCAACAAAAACCTATCCACGGATAAGGATTTAAAAAAAAAAAATGCATGTTCCATTCAACAGGAGAGATAGAGCCTGTGACTGCACTTCTCACAAACCCCAGGTGATGCTGACAAGGCAGGTCCATGAACAATATTCTGAGGAGCAAAACCACCCCTAAGCTCTGATGCCTCCTGGTATTTCTGGAGATCTTCCTTACGGTGCCCCTAAAGGACTTGCCAACCAAACTCATTGATAAACCACAGCCAATGGCAAAATCACAGTCTTTATCCACTTTGAGCATTTGAGCAAAGTTCTGTTTAAATTCTGCTGAAATTGGAGAGAGAGGATATCAACTGACAAAGGATGTCAACTATTTGGAAAAGCTGTTGTGTCCATCAGAAGCTGTAGATGTTGTGGGTTGTTGTGAAATTGCTTTTCAATTTAAGTGCTTTCTGGGCCAGAGAAACAACTCTCACTTCTAAAAGTAAAATCAAGCGTTCCAAACCGGGAAATACAGAAAGGATTTCTCCGAATATGGGAGTTAATCATGTAACTATAAGCTTTCTTTCGGTCTCAAATCACTAGAGGAGAGGATGTATATAGAACCAAGGAGAAATGACAAATCTTCCTGCCCAGTGAAAGGCATTAAGAACACATCAACACTGTCTACTTAATCGGTCCTGACTCAGTGGCTGGAAACCAGCTGGCTTGTGAGTGAGACAGAGAAAATCGGAGCAGACAGGGGTGAAGGTAAACGTCCAGGGGTGCTTTGGATGTCAGAGACCGGAAGATCTGGAACTGCAGACAAGGTTCTGGAGCAGCCTGACTTCAAACCATGAATCTTCAAAGACACAAATGCCCTACTCAAGGATGGTCAAGGGACCAAGGTCAGATTCCTCAGCGATGTCTGATCAGAAGGATTAGTGAGAACGGCCCCTTATGAAATATCCACAGCCCAGTCCTCAAGCTTTGTTCCACATTAGTATCACCTGGGAAGCTTTAAACACCAAACCCTCCCTCTCTCTCCCCGCCCTCTGCAATCCACCATACTCAGGCACCCCCTCCCCCCCCTCACATACACACATCAATTGAATCATGATCTCTGGGTTTAGGGTCCAGGCACCCTTAATTTTCAAAGTTCCTCATGTGGTTCCCCAGGTGGCTTCAATGTGTAGCCAAATGTGAGAACCACCGGCACAGCCTTTCAGTGTCCTCACTCATAGCATGAAAGAATCCCTCTGGACCAATGCTTCACCCTGTCGGTGTTAAATCACCGTAGGGAGACTGTTCAAAGTACTGATGCCAGCAGCATCCCTGGGAATTCTGGCTAATTTGTGGGGCCTAGGGACCAGTATTTGTAACAGCTTTCCAGGTGATTCTAAAGTGCATGTGGGTAGGTAACTACTGGCCCAGGGGTGAGTGCGTATGTGCATGTGTGTATTTGCCAAAATTCCTTCTATTGCTTACATTTTAAGCATCAATGACATCAAGGCTAAAAATGCATCTTAGACTTTTTGCAAAGGTGGATCTCTCATCTTTAACGTGAAATCAGGGATCTCTAACTTTGGAAAGGTCCATAAATTCCCTTAAATCCTATGCAAAATGTGGGGTGAATACGGATATTCACATATATGTATATTTTCTAAGGAGAATGTCCTTAACTTTAATCAAGATTCTCTAAAGATTTAATGCTATTAAATACAATTATGTGGTTTCTGGTTTAGTAAATTTAAGAAAATTCAAGAATGAATGGAAAATAAATTTGATCCCAGTGGCATATTAACTATAATTTTGAATCTGCAGCACACCCACTCCACTGAGCTGTGTCTATCCTAATTGCAGGTTTAGTCCACACTATATGCAGCCTATCCTTTGAAAAGGGAGATGGATGTGAAGATTTCAGACCCAAATATCAAAGTGGAAGCCCCGTCACAGACTGGGGTCAGTACTTGGCTGTCTGTTAGAGCTCATAATGAGAAACTACTTCCCCTTGTAAGGAGACTGTCCACTCAGACTCTTTGGACCAGGGGTCCTCAAACTTTTTAAAGTGGGGGCCAGATCACGGTCCCTCAGAGAGCTGGAGGGCCGGACTATATGAACTACTAATTCCTACTGTAGCACCTCGGCTGCGCTCACTGCCCAAAAAACCTGGCGGGCCGGATCAGACTCCTCTGCAGGCCGCATGTGGCCCGCGGGCCGTAGTTTGAAGACGCCTGCTTTGGACTCATGATCCTGCTGGGTTAGGATATTAAGATTTTCTAGTCCCAACTACAGTTACCTTTATGCCCCAGTTTGAAACCCGGGTTTCTTTCTAACAACCCTGTCTCTGGGAAACATACTGAACCATTCTATTCCTCATGTGAAATGGGACCAATATAAATAATTTTAAAATTGCTGTAAAGAATAAGTAAGAAAAACACATAAAATGCTCAGCAAAACACTTGGCACAGAGCAAGATCCAATCATGAGAGGTTATATCACTGTCATTACTGATGTCCTATTATTAATACCTTAGTGACCTGTCCAAGTCGCAAAATTTCCCTGAGCTTCATTTATTGTTTCATACCACAAGGGGAGTGAGCCCTGCTCACAGTTGCAGTGATGACCGAGCAGAAGAGCAGACGGTGTATTGCTATTCCATGGCAACTCATCATCTACCCAGCCATCGCCAGAGCACAGGAAAGCGTCACCCTACAACCCACACAGAACCCCTACCCTGAAGTGTTGGGGTTTTTTTGTGTGTTTGTTTGTTTTGCTGTGTTTGTTTGTTTTGAGATTCTAACAGTTGAGAAGTTTTTACAATGACTGCAGCAATTTCTTATCACATCGCATCCCAGTTGGCCTAAACCTCCCCCCACATGGGCTGGCGGGTGACCGGGTGACCGTACACCACAACCTCCCTTTCAGGTAAGGGGTTTCTGCCAACCACTCTCTAAATCACAGATGCCCTAAATCCGTGGTGGGCAAACTGTGGCTTGCGAGCCACATGCGGCTCTTTGGCCCCTTGAGTGTGGCTCTTCCACAAAATACCACAGCCTGAGCGAGTCTATTTTGAAGAAGTGGTGTTAGAAGAAGTTGAAGTTTAAAAAATGTGACTCTCAAAACAAATTTCAATAATTGTACTGTATTTGGCTCTGGTGACTAATGAGTTTGCCGACCACTGCCCTAAATGAACAGCCCTCCTCTGGGCGGACACGCATTGGTGGAGTCTCCACCACACCAATCCCTCCACAGGGGGCAGTCCCCAGACTCCCACAAGCCCAGCTGCCCATCAGTCTGACAGCATGGGCTCCTCGACCTGCCCCACGAGAGCAGCGACATCACCGACACCTCTCAGTATCTGAGCAGAGACCCACGGCACTCAGCGCCCACTTACCTGGCGGCGGCTTGGCTGTGCGCACAGGGGTGTAGTGGTTTTTGGAGGTGGATCTGACCGGCGTGCTCTCCTTGGGGGAGGTATCGATGGCCGAGATCGTTTCTCTTTCACAGTGTGCTATGGGGATTGGTCCCTGTTGTCTCAAGATGTCAGCCAGAGCCCTAAACGGGAGGAGACAACATAGTGAGGTTCCCTGGACAAATGTGCAGCCACGAAGGCCTCTGACGTGCAGAGGCGGGAGGAGAGGGGCCGGGGCACCCAACTCACAGCCTCTGCCTTCCCCGGGGCTGGGCTCAATGGGAATGCAGGCTAGAGGTTGCCATGCTGGACAACCAGAACTCTGAGCCCTTTCAAAATACTGGCTTCCCCTACCCCACTTCCCGCTGTATCTAGGGCCACTGGCCAGTGGCCGTCACTGCAGCCGGACTGACACCGTGGGCCTCACGTTCAAGCAGCAGGTTGCTGATATCAGACTGAACACTTCCCTATTGAAAAACACGCACCCAGTAGCATGTGCTCTATTCTGGTGACCCAAAGAAATGTATGATTTAGCTGCCATGACAGGATGTACAGATGAAAAGGTATGGGAACACATGGGTGGTACAGAAGGAACACAACTGGAGCCTGAAGGGGAGAGCCATTGCCGGTGCAGGGAGGGAGATGCGCAGGAAGGAGAGACGTGGGGAGCGGCTGCTGGTGCTGCAGAGGCCGCTCCTTCTGCAAGAGGCCAGCGACCCACGAGAAGCTTCCCTCATAGATTCACTCCACACGGAGCCTCATCATCCAAACCCACATTCACTGAGCACTCAGCCCTCATCTGGCCCTGCAGAGACAGAGGCAAACAGGACCCAGCCCCGGCCCTAGGAGGGCTCACAACTCAGGGGAAATCACCCCACAGCCTGGTTTCAAACAGCACTCACTCTGGAGTGTGACATAGGAGATAGGCAGTGCGGACTGAAAACAGAGACACACAGGGGTACTATGGAGAGACAAGGGTGAGTGTGGACAGCATCAAGGGTCCACCATTTGGATATTGTCCCACTGGGGCCAGGTCCCCTGGTCTGAGGGAACCCCTGTCTTGCATAAGCTGGGCAAGAGCTCTTCCATCTACTCTGGGTGTCCCTGCGGTGTGAGGCGAGGCGACACAGCCAGCCCAGCCCGGCCCCAGGCAGCTCCCACACTCTGTCCCCTTGGGGAGTGACAACCATGGCAGTTTAAAAGCACGTCTGAGAGCGGTTTGCTTCCTTCCATTCTGCTGCCTCTGACACGCTGACCCTTCCTGGGAGAAGAGCATCAAACCGGCAATCTTATCATTCGGTGGCATTTACACAGCAATTTCCAATTTTCCAACTGCTTTCCCCTCGCCTCGCCGCTTTCTTTCCTCCAGTGGGAAAGGAAGGCAGGCACACGCCACCCCACATACACACTCACTGCAGGGGACCCAGCAGTGAGGGAGGACACACAAGCTCACTAGCTTGGTAAAGGAGGTTCAGGCAGACCTGAGATTCAGGGCCTGGGAATAAGGGAAAAATTGCCTTGATAGTTCAAGAGATTTGAGTTCTAATCCCAACTCTGCCACTGATGAGCTGTGAGCCTTTGGGAAGATCTGTTCATCTCTAGCATTGCAATGTATAGAGAACAAACAGACTGACAGCTATCAGAGGGAAGGGGGGCTGTGAGGCTGGGTGGAAAAGGTGAAGGGATTAGGCAAAACAATAACAACAAAAAACAACAACTCATAGAGACAGAAAAGTGCATGCTGATGACCTAAGGGGAAGGAGTTAGGGGAGGAAGTAGAAGATGTGGGAATATAAGGAAGATAAATGGGGATGGAAAGAGACTGGACTTGAGGTGGTAGACACATAATACAATATGTAGATGACGTATTACAGAATTCTACACATCAAATCTCTCTAATTTTATTAACCAATGCCAACCCAAAAATAAATAAATAGATAAATAAATAAATAAATAAATAAAATTTAAAAGTAATATTTCCCCCCTATTAGCAAAACAAGGGTTTACAGAAGTAGGATCTCTAACATGCCTTCTAATTTCAAAATGTGATAAATATTTTGTTTTGTTTTTTAAGCCACACACATGTGCAAGTTACCAGATTCCTTCATCCTGCTGTTGATCAACCTCACCTTCCCACTACCTTTCCATAGAAAGAAAATAATGAGCTAAAAGTTATAGCAGAAATATAGACCGATGGAATAGAACTGAGAGCCCAAATGATTTTCAACAAGGGTCTCAAGATAACTCAATGGGGAAAGAACAGTTTCTTTAAGAAATGGTGGTTGGACAACTAGATATTTGCAGGTAAAAGAATAAACTTGGACTCTTAATTAACACCATATATAAAAATTAACTCATAACAGATCATAGGTCTAAATACTAGAGCTAAAACTGTAAACTCTTAGAAAATATGGAAATAAATCTGTGTGCCATACATTTGGCAGTGGTTTCTTAGATATGACATCAATAGCACAAGCAACAGAAGAAAAAAAGATACATTGGACTTCATCAAAATTAAAAACTTTTCTAACCCTGACCGGTGTGGTTCAGGCCTTAGAGCGTCAGCCCAAGCACCAGAGTCATGGGTTCTATTCTCAGCCAAGGGCATGTACCTGGGGTGCAGGTTCATGGAGGAGGCAGCCAACTGATGTGTCTCTCTCACACAGGTCTCTCTCTCTCTCTCTCTCTCTCTCTCTCTCTCTCTCTCTCTCTCTCTCTCTCTCTTCTTCCTTTTTCTTTCTCTTTCTCCCCCTTCCTCCCTCCTTTCCAGTCTCTCTAAAAATCACTGGGAAAATATGCTCAGGTGAAGATTAACAAAAATAAAAATAAAAACCTCTACATCAGAAGACATTCTCAATAAAATGAAAGATAATCCACAGAAGGGAAAAATATTTGTCAATCATATTTCTGATAAGAGACATATCCAGGCTACATAAAAAATCCTTCAAATTCAGCAATCCAAAACCAAGAACCCAGTTTAAAAATGGACAAAGGATATAAAGAGACATTTCTCTAAAGAAGGTAAACATGGAGAGCAGTTCAACATCATTAGTCATCAGGAAAATGGAGATGGAAACCACAGTGAGGTGTCCCTTCAGAGCCACTAAAACAGCTGTAGCCAAATGTTGGAGAGGACGTAGAGAAATTAGGGCCTTCTGAAGCTGCTGGTAGGAATGTAAATTGGTGCAGGCCCTTTGGTAAAGAGTTTAGCAGTTCCTCAAAATGTTAAGCATAGTTACCATATGGCCCAGCAAATCACACTCCTAGGCATGTACTCAAGAGAAATGGAAACAGATGTCCACATAAAAGTTGTGTATAAAGGTTTATACGGCATTGTTAATAATTAGAGGCCCAGTGCATGAAAATTCATACACTGGAGGGGGAGTCCCTCAGCCCGCCCTGCCCCCTCTCACAGTCCAGGAGCCCTTGGGGGTGGGAGGCAACCCGGCGATCAGGGGATACCACTGCAGGTAGCAGAAGCCTTGGCCAGTTCTGGTTACCTGAGCTTCAGGCAGCCCTGGGCAGCTGGGCATCTGCCAACTGAGACTTTCCTGTGTCTCAGGCTAGCCCTGGGTGGCAGGGGAGAAAGCGGGGGAGGGGGGGGGGAGCGCTGAGGGGATTGGGAAACTCTGAAGGTGGATGAGACCAGCCTTGCTGTGTGCCTGCTGCCCTAGCGGGGCTGAAGGGAGTGAGTGCCACCATCTTGTGGCTATGGATACCACCATGTTTGAGGGCATGGTAGTCAATTAGCACTTTCATTTCTTATAGGCTGTGGGCGCTGCCATCTTTGAGGGCAGGACATTCAATTAGCATATTCCCTCCTTATTGGCTGTGGGTGCCGCCATCTTTTGCGACAGCATGAGGATCAATTAGCATATTCCCTCTTTATTAGATAGGGTAGCCAAAAAGTGAAAACAACCTAAGTGTACCTCAACTGCTGAGTAGATAAACGAAACGTGGTGTATTCACACAATGGTAATTATTCAGCCTTAAAAAGCGATGCAGAACTGACACATGCTACAACATAAATAAACTGTGAAAGCATCATGCTAAGTGCAAGAAAGCAGTCACAAAAAACCACATGTTGAATGACTCCACTTTTATAAAATGTCCAGATTAGGCAGATCCACAGAGGTAGAAAGTCAATTTGTGGTGACCAGGGGCTAGGGGAGTGGAAATGAAAAGTGACTGACAATAGGTATAAGGTTTCTTCTGGGGAAAGTGAAATGTTTTAAAATTAGATAGTAATGAAAGGTAGCTGGACAACTCTAAATGTATCAAAATGACTTTAAAGTTTAAGGACAAATTATACTGTATTTACCAAGAAAGGTTTATATTATTTTTCCTTCTTTCTTTGCCTTGTGGACTCCTACTGTCTGGTGCCCATGAAGGAGTATGGATTCTCATGGTTAAGTCACTGCTTTTGGTAAGCCAAGTCGGAGTCCACATCAGTCGTTTTCCAAGGTGATTATGGACAATGGCAACGTCCAAAGACAGTTTTGTTGTCACCACTGGGGAGAGACGTGCTACTGGCATCTGGTGGGGAGAGGCCAGGAGTGCTGCTAGCCATCCTTCAACACACAGAACACCCAGAGCAAAGAACTGTATGGCCCACAGTGTCATCATGGCAGGGCAAAAAACCTTGGTTTACATCTACACAGCACTAGATGAAATGGGTTTATTCAGACTCAACGCAATCTAGTCTCACAGGTATCTAATGAGCAGCCCATACCAAGATCTGATCTGGGCTAGGCTCTGGGGCACAGTGGAGCTGGGCATACAGAAACCACGTCCTGAGGAGGGCCCATGTCTGTCGGGGCCAGCAGTGCATCCTCAGGTCCTGACTCACAGCCCAGCTGTAGTACTTCCAGCCCAGCCTCACCTGTGTCCCTATGGACAGTGGAAATGCCATTTCAGAGTAGATTTGCTCAGAGGCTCATTGGCAAATGAAGATATGGCAGCGAAGACATTCCTGAGTTCACCTCTCCCAAGATGGGGAGTCTCCCGGTGCCCACCTCCCAAGAGGCTCTGCAGGACTGGGGCTCCAAAGACTGAGGGGTGAGTGAAGATGCCTTCCTGGAGACCACCAGGAGAGTGAGCTTTACCTGGGGTAGTCACCTGTCTCCTGAAGATGATGGCTTGC